CCAACAAAAACCAAGGTTCAGCAGACGAAACCTTTCCCCCACCTAATGAACCTACCTCTGCAGGGACCTGCTGTCCTCATATAGGCCCTAGAATGCTTGTGGGCCAGGTCCCTGGCTGTGTTGCCCAGGCCAGGACCTGCACATAGGCCTCCACAGGGAACCACAGCAACATCTCAAGTGGTCTTCAGCCTTGCAGCTCTCCTGCTGCTGATGCTGCAGCCATCTGTGTCTCAGGCCAGCCAGGGCAATGATGAGCTCAGGAAACAAAGGTCTGGTGTGCAGGTTTCCCGTGTTTTACAGCAAAAAAAGTGATGTTCTAAGACTGACCTGCCTTTTAAAATGAGGCACATGCCAGCAACATCCGCTCCCCCATGCAGCGAGGTCCAGCAGGTTTGGAAATAACCTGCATTGCCAAAGAAAAAAATATGTTTCCCACTTCCCATGTTCCCTTCCCACAAAAAAACCCAGGCAATGATGCAGCCCAAGTGTGACCCCCACCCATCACCTTAACACAGTACTCTGACTGTCCTGGGGTGTTGGCAGGGCTCCATGTTACTCACAGGGGAATATCCCGATGCCCGCAACTCCTCACATTCATGTGGCCTTCCCACAAACTTCGTGGCACCCCAATGCTTCACACCATGGACCTGCAAGTGATGCCGAGCACAGGGTGTGCCCTCTGTAATGCACAGGTCAAGTGAATGGCTGGCCAGTGGGGAAACCAGTTTCAAACTGCAGGATCAGTTCCCCACTGTGCTGTCTCCCTCAGGAGCACTGGGATAAACCCGCTGCATTCATCAAACCAGTGCTGACTGTGCTGATATGCATCACCACAGTCCTCAAACCAGGAAGCACCTGAGTGCATGGCACTTCCAGCAGTCATCCCAGCTTACCTTTACATACTGCACAGCTGTTACTCTTTGCAACACCCCATCTTCCCCTAGCGCCCGAGGAGATCTTGCTCTGGAGCAAACTGCACAACAGTGACCTCTGCAATTTCCTCCACAACCCTGCCTCGGTGAGATACCAAAACACTCTGCTGGGGACGCTGGGTGATACCAAGTGACACATAACCTCTCTGGGCTGTCCAACAGCAGGTTTCACACTGCTGTCCCTCCCCATGCTGACCCCTCTTCCCCTAACCATGACGGAAGTGACTCAAAAGGGCAGGTCACCTTCCCTTCCCCTCATCACCAAGGTGTGAGAAAGCCTCTCAACACTGCTCAGTTCAAACCCTTGCTCCACACTCACATCTCACTGCAAACACCACACACAGTGCTGCTCATACATGCTTTCTGCTCAATGTTCCCTCCTTCTGTCCCACCATCACCAGATTATGGAAGTCAGATGTTTCATCCTGGTTTTTCCCTCCTTACAATATCTATGGCTCAGTTTCCAGTGGACTTACCTTAAAAAAAACCCATTCAAAACAAAAAAACCCGAACAAACACCAAGACCTTCTGGCACTATCTGCCTCAACAACCTGGGACAACAAATTCCAGGTCTACTACCGGCTCTGTAGGAAACTTATTCCATGGGTTTGAGCAGATTTCTTCCTAGCCAAGTGCCTCTCTGGCTCCAGCCGTGGCGATTCGGAAACTAGCAGTTCAGCATCCACCACGCTCCCTACTTGGTATCGCAGAATCACAAATAACTTTAGGGTTCAAGGGACCTCTAGGGGACATCGGCTGCAACTTCCAGCTCACAGCAGGGCTGATCCTCCTTCTCATCTCAGCCTTTCCCTCTCCAAACGGAGGCCTCCAGGCCTCTTCAATCTCACGGGGCAGGCTGCTGCTTCATCCCGTTTATCATCAGCGCCCTTCTGTAACTCCACTATGACCTTCTGGAGACAGGAAGTCCACAGCTGCATGCAGGATTCGAGGCACCAGCGCAGCAAAACTCTAGCGCTGCAAAATAAAGGCAATTGACGCAAGTGCTGGCATTTGTTTTGTGCCGATCTGCTTCTCCTTATAGAAAGTTTTAACAGAAGTCTATTGGGAATTTAGAAGTCAACCAAGAATAGTTTTGCGCTCTGCATGCCTTGACGCAGCAGCACTACTGCTGCCGACTTCTGCCACTGATGATGAACAACCTCCTCCACCACAACCCAGCACTTGTGAAGGACAGAAGAAACATCCTAGAAGTGGAAAAGTCTCCTTCAACAGCTGGATGAAATCCCAGCAGATGGGAGTCAACCAGGATACTTCTTAGGCATTCCCAACCTGCAGATTCGGTCATGACTTCCTACTGCCACACACAAAGTTTCAGAGAGTTACAGGGAACAGCTACATGGGTAAGATGATGGGGTGAGCAGCACTTGGTACCCTCTCTTCAGGTACAGGATAAAAACAAAACACCACCAGCCCACTGTTTTTTCTTCTTACTTCCAGTAAATGATGCCCAGCCACCCACAGCTGAGCCTGAGACCCAAACCACTGCCAACAGCACAACATGGGTGACCTGACATGAGGCAGAACCCAGCAGAGTAGCTCTTGTGCTCATGCATGATCATGATCTAGGTAACAAGCGACCATTTCAAGAGAGAGGCTATAGCACTGAGGTGTGATTTCAGAGGCTAAGCTCCTACCACCACGTAAACCCATATTACAGTTCTGAAATGGAAACAAAGGCCCAACCAATGAGACACACATAAGGAAAGGATTCCTGCCCAAACAGGGGCTCTGGGGAGGGTCTCACCATGCAGGATGCTGCAGGAGCCATGCGGTGGGTGGGCAGGACTCCGGGCAAGTAACCTGCAGGGTACTGTGGCAAGTTGGAGGCTTCCATGGAGGGGGGTTGCACAGACGAGCCACAGCAAGGCCCCCGAGCCTGAGGTGGTGGTCCCTGACCCTGCCAACACTGGAAGAAAGGACACAGCACTTGTAAACCAGGCAAGACATCTCAGTAAACCCTGTCCACCTTCATGCACGTGAGGCACTGGCCACTATGTTTTGTCCTCAGAAGGCTGAATGTGAAATGTTTTCCAGATGTGGCTATCGCATGGTAAGCACTTATGGCTGCAGAGCAAGTATCACCTCAGACCCCTTAAGCCCAGAGAGCAGAACAGGCTCCATTTTTGGTATTAGCACAAGTTCTGCCCTAAGCTACATTTGTTCTAACACTGATGTCTGTTCAGTTTGGGTAACAGTCAACAATTCTATTGACACCAGGTAAATCATTACAGCATATGCGCAAGGCCAGAATTCAGTTGATCGTGGCTATACAGTCACTCAGCTCAGTGCAAAGGTTTCCAGGATAAGTGCCTTTTCTGCCACTTTAGAAAGCCAGGCCCCCTGGCTGGTGGGAGCTGATGATCATCTAACCCTTGTCACTAGAGTGCTGAGAGGTAACTGTGCCCCACAGATTTGAGACCCTTGTCAGCTTGCGCTGTCCGCACAGCCTGGAAGAGGCAAAACCTAGACTGTTTAATAGTACCTTTCCCATGGCAAGTTAAAGGAGGTGAATTCCTTGATTAAGGTTCACAGATGAAAAGAATAAATCACTAGTATTCGGTTAACAAACATTGCATCACCCCACATGAAAAGACACCCGAAGAGGATCAGGCTGTGTCCTTCTGTCTGTCCCAAACCAGATAGAGGTCATTACACCCCAAGTTTGCAAGCTTTGTTTTTACCTTCAAACAATACTTTGGTACTCCTGAAGCTTTTTGGACTGAATTCATTTCCAAGGTAAGCAAGTTCAAAAGTTTACCAACTATCCCACATTCAGGATTGTTAAAAAAATAATCAGTAATTAGGCTCCATGAAAACAAAATGAAGCCCTCAATCAATCTAAGTACAAAGTCAGCACAGCTCAGCTGTACAAGAGATGCCAACTTTGCTCCTACAGAGCAAATCAGCCATAAAATAGTAAGGCCTTGACCATTCAGAACAGGCTTCCTCAATGCACCAGCACCCAACACTGACCATCTCTGCTTTGTGCAAACACATACTGAAAACAAGAAGTCACCTATGTCTAAGGACTTCATCTCAGCACTTCTCAGAGGAGCACGGGACATACTTGTGATGAAGTCATGGTGTCCAGAGCAGCCAGACTTGATTGTTAGAGGCAGAAATGAAGTCTTCCAGATGTGCACACTCACCTCATCCACAGTCTGTCATTCTATTTGTCATGAGCAACATGCGCATATTATGGCAAAAGGAAAGAAAATTGGGAGAAAACCCAAACCAACAACTAACCCAGTGCAGTATCTCACATTAAGGCCAAGCTCTCTCCTCCAGCCGTTACCTCTGTCACTTTTGGTAGCCTCCATTCTGTCGGAGACGCGCCGGGAGCGAACAGATCCCGCACAGAGACACAGAGCACAGCACACCCTCTGACACACGGGTGAGAAACAAAAAGGGAAGGAGAGAAGGGCAGACGTGATGGAAGAATGTGATGGCTCTTCTCCTGGTGAGGGTGCCCGTAGCTGCAGGCTCTTCCAGTGCCCTACTGTCCACTGGGAGGGGGGGTGTGGGGGCTTTGGCAAGATGACGGTTACATAAAGAAGAAGCTACAGAAAAAGAGAAAAAACAGAAAAGATAAGAAACAGTGGTTCAGAATTCAAATGAAAAAGTGTGAGAGAGGAATGAAAACAAAGGAGGAACAACACTGTAAAGAAAGCCATGAAGGAAAGAGTGCACTGGGGAGGTGTCATACAAACCAACTGCACTAGAGAGGAACCCAAACATCTCCAAGATACTGGCTGATGTGCAGAACAAGCTGACAACTGCCACAAAAAGCAAGGGACAAACACCAGAACAGCCCTACCAAGGCATCTCAAAGGGATGGGATGGGAGCCTGCTGGGAAACCTTGCACTTCCTCAGCCCCTCTTGTCACACCATTACAGAATGGCAACATCAAAACTAAGTCACAAAGGCCACGCCAAGACCAAAGCGTTTGGGTGAAAATGTATTAACCCCCCCCCCCCCCTTCAAGTGTTGGCACTATTTGTACATATAACCTAAAGCACAGACAAGAAATAACTGAACTTATGCTATAAGGTTATTAATCAATTTGTAATTCAAAACCTGAAATATTTTAACATCAAATAAAGTGACAATATCTAACAGATGCATACATATAATTTGCATTAACACTGTATGTAGGTTACACAATTTAGTTACAAACATGGGTTATTTTCAAATAGCAAGATAATAAAGTTCTACATCTATAGTTTAAGGCAATCAGGATATTAAAAAAAGTATACAAATACAATATTTCTACTGCTGTTCACAGCTTTATTTCCCATTAATTAAAAAAACCCTTCATATTTGTACAGTTCCATGCTGAGACGTGCTGGTGAGAGAGCATCACTGGGCATCATACACCGCAAATACAACCAGGGCCTGCAGAGAACAGACCACTACGCACTCTTCTAACATAACATCTCAGAAGGGCAAATGGCAACTGGATTCAAATGGACAGATGTGATATGATCACACACAAAAAGACATTTCTGTTCTTACACGGACGGTTTAGGAGAAGCAGAATGAAAGCTACCCGCAAAAACCACTGGTCATGTTAAATACAGACATGCTCAAAGAGAGGCACAGAGATACAAATCTCTTTGATGGGATTTCAAGGTGTTAAAAGCACACACAGGGAGGGACAGGAGTCACAGAGGAGCCCAGGAGGGAGGATGCCAGTCATTGCTGTCTCCCCTCCTCAGCAGTGCCACACACCAAGGAGATGCAAGGTGATGCATTTAACGACCATGAACTCAAAGGGTACCTTCCTACTTGGTGCCCTCCTGGAAAAGTAACTGCAACTCCAGTGAGGTTCTGGGGTTCATTCCATGCCCTGAGAACACCATCATTCCAGGAACACATTTTAGTGTGCTACCCTGCTCCTTTGTATTATTCTAAGGTTTGAAATCCACCTTGTCAGGAATGGGCAGCATTATTAGCCGGGTATCATCACTACCTAACACACATTAAAGGCTGCAGTACCTCTCAAGCAAGGCTTATGCCCATGGTTCCACCAGCTGGCTTGCTAGCCACAAGCATGCAGGGAGGCTGTAGAGGGTTGCTTTAGGCAGTCAGCAGGAGCTGGATGTTGTGTTCCCTATGGCTTCTTTTCAACATCTCAGCAGAAGCAGATTATTGCAGGAAGTTTAGGAGTAGTTTTAACCACGCCACTTGTAAGTAAGCGGACTTAAAGAACCCTCCCAGAAAAACAGCTGGTTTTGTATCAGTAGTGAGGCAGAAAGGGTGAGTCTCTTACTACTGTACTTACATGCAAAGGTGAGAGCACATCCAACTAGATTTGAGTGCATCATTTACTCCATGCAGAATCAGGGGCTACTGTGAAAAAACGCATAAGAAAAGAAAGAAGTGCAGCAGTAACAACCTAAACATGGCCCAAGGGTTTAAGGAAGGAAGAAAAATGTCACTTAACATCTCCTTTCGCAAGAGAAATAAAAGAGTACCTTTAACTTCTGTAAGTTTATGGTTTAGTCCCAGTTTCTCCACAGCAGGTTGCTTTTTGCTGGAGAAAGAAACTGAATCAAAAGTATATTAATGCACTTGGCCACAGCTTTCTGACAAAAAAATATATGACTCAGCTGATTTCCCCTGCTAAACATCCCTTGAAGGGCTGTTAAATGAAGCAGGACAAATAAATGTTAAAATGAAGTTTTCTACTTGGCACAAACCACTGGTAATTAAAAAGAGGACATGCACAGAGACAGCTGAAGCAAAGCACACTGCCACAAGCATTCCATGATGTGCCTATGATGTGACTGTAAAAAAACCTCGGGCCAAAGCCCCATCTTTTTCTGTGATAACTCAAGATTTTAAGGCTGGGTTTGCCAGAAGTCATAACCACCATTTACTTTTTCCAAACAATCCCCTAGCAAACCTATTTAACTTGACAAAAAGGGCATCGTGGCTGATAGACCAGGAGGTCAAAAAAAAAAACCCCACAAACCAACAAACACCCCTCCAAAAAGGGAAAAGGCTCAACTATTTTATTTCCAGCTTATTTATCTCCAATCAATTTTTGCTGTCTGTCCAAGACAACCTATTTAGATATGCTCTTCCCACAGCCAGTGTTTAAGCAGTGAGAGTTAAAAAGCAAGACAACCCATCAGCTAGCCTCCAAGCAGATTTTCACAATGCAACACCTGAGAATAGGTGATAATTCCGCCTTCACCCGTCCCCCAAAGATGCAAGAACTTCCATTCCAGAACCAAGCAAAGAACTGCAATGCATGAGACTCAGGTGGAAAGAGTTATTGTAAAGAGTGTATTACAGAACAGGAGGCTACCTAGCTAGGAGCAGTGGAAATGCTGGGCGTGCATCAGCAGAAGAGAAAGATATCTCGAAGTTATAAGATAAGCAGGGCTTGCCACTTCTTGGTAATGAACGGAAAGACTCTGTCCAAAAAGCAGCGGCATAGAAAACACACATTAAACAGACCCATTTCCTTATGATTAGTCTCCTTTGCACATTCAAGGAATATGTGAATGGGATGTGGTCCCTGCTGCAGGCATGCTGGTGGAGAGCATGGGGAATGTGTGTCCAGGCACCCTCGGCTTGTGGAGAGCACAGGGAATGTGTGTCCAGGCACCATCATTGCCTTGACATGAAATTCTGGATCCCACAGCTTTGCAAATCTGTTTATAAAGACATGCAGGAACCTTTCTGAAGGGTCTATGAGGATGCTGATGCTATGTCCTCTCCCCACCCAGGTATCTGATTCCGTAAGGGCTGCTAAGATGGTGCACATGGGAAACCAGGGACTATTTTAAATGAGGTTTGAAAGGTTATGGTCAGACATGGGAAGCAGTAATAAGAAATGGTCCTTCTCCCAGGCACCTGCAGCACTGCTGGGCTCCCACTGCAGCATTCAGCAGGTAGCTACTACACTGAACTGGAAGGGTGGCTGCAAAAAAACGCCAGCATATGACAGTAAATCCAAAACAACTAATATGATCAAGTCAGACAACAAGAACAGGAACTAATCAAAAATATCATGCAAATGTAATGGCATGCAAGGTTGGTTAAACTTTTGTTATCTACACACATATACCCCCTCCCACTCTCCCAACACCAGGACTCCTGTTGTTCTAACACATTAGGTATTGAAGGAATATGGGTTGGACTAGACTCCAGGGCTCAGCCACACTAGGGACTAGGCTTATACAGCAGTAATTCCCCAAGGCTGGTCTCTGTGGACCCAGGGACCCCTTTAGCACACAGCTGTTGCTACCACGAGTGGGGCAGGCCAGCAGCACTGAGGATCTGATCCAGTCAATGATGCTCACCCGAGCTACTGATGTCCGGCCCTGACTCTCAGCTCCAATCTGGGGCCAAGAATGACTTCCTGCTGCTGGTTTTGATGAGAAAAATACATGGAATCATTACCTTGCCCCTCCACCCACCCCTGAGCTTCCAGTTGCATACAGTCCTGTACCCAATCCTTCTTCCTTCTTGTTCCCACTATGTTATTAGATGAGTTAATAGTCATTTATGTTAAATAGGGGAGGGGGGGGGAAGAGAAAAAAAAAAAAAAGGTAAGAAAACAGATGGCAGAGACACATTACTGCAAAAGCAGGTGAATGCAGGAACATCCTTGGCTGGACAGGCTTTATGTGAAGCTTGCACTGCAAGTTAAAAAAAAGAACAAAAAAATAAAAAAGTTAGCAATAGTAGAACTCAAAATGAAAAAATAATAAAAAAAAAAAAACAAAACCAAAAACCAAAATCCAAGGAAGCTGGAAGAGGCGACACCAGCAACCCGCTCTGGTGGGTGGGCATGCAGATGGATTATGGAATTATAAAGAAATTAAACCTCGAGGCTGGGCTCTACTCTGGCCTATGACAAGCAAAAGCAAAAAGAAAACCCAAGGGGGAAGGACTACTGACCGACCAGCCACCTCAGTTAGTCAAGGCTATAGCCTGTAACCACACCATGCTTGGTGTCTTTAAGCTTCAATTTAAGAATGCGCATGGCTGGGGGGTGCGGCTGCAGGTGTCAGGTTTGGGTCACTTCACATGGGTGCTGTCGCAGCAGGCTGTGTGCTTAGCCTGTACCCAAACTTGGGTATCTCACATCTGGGCAGCATGATGTCCCCCAGCACTTCAGCACATCAGCTTTCAGAACCATGTCAGATCCTTCAGACATCAACAAACCCCTCTTCTTACAGGGTGTTGGGCCATATAACATGTGTTACAGCTCTGGGATTGCTATGGGATTAAGCTTGGCCCGTAATGGGCAGACCAGTCATGATGGACTGGAAACAAGTTTTTCATCTTATTTTCACAAGCAGGCTGTAATAAACAGAAAGAAAGCCCAAACAGATGGTCCCAGCTCCTGGGGAATTGGAGAATGAGCAAGTAACACAACGAGACATGCTGAGGCATGCATGTGGCTATCTACCAGACAACAGGCAAGCACCAGAAAGCTACCTGCTGCTCCTATTTGGTTTTGCCAAGTCCATTGCCAGGAACCATCTCCAGATTGCTCAGATTCAAAGCACAGTCCCTCCCCAAAATTAGAGCAGGGGCTTGGTAAGTAATGTTCAGCCCCACATTCAGGGAAGTACTTGAGTATGCTTTATTCTACAGATACACAAGTGTCTGAGGTACATGGATGTGCTGTCCTGAAGACAGCACACCTTCTGTCATCAGGCTAGAGCTGCAACAATTTTAGATGGAAAAACACGTAAACTATAGGAATCTGAGAAATGGATTACACAGAAAAATAATAATTTAAAAAGTATATAAAGACAAGCTGTTCCTACAGGAACAGCCTTGAAATCAAGAAGGCCAAGTTCTCCTTCACGGAGTTAGGCCAGCAGCAGATTTCACTCCAAGCCTTCCCTCTGGCTTACACAGCAGAAAGGAAAGTTTCTGTTGTCCAAGTTGGAGAAATTGGATCCCACCTTAAGAAAAAAGCATTCCTGTTAATTACTTCTGGGGAAGCTACAAGGATCGTGCATGGCAAGGATTTCCTCTGGCAACTGCACAGGAGCCACCACAGTCCATGTCAGCACAGAGAAAGGTTGAAAGCCTTACCTATAGAAACTGCTTTTCATTAGAGTGCAAGGAGAAACTTAAAGCCTTTAGAAAACCCAAGGTGTGCTACAAGGCAGAAGCATCAGCATTTCCCTCTAAAGCCACCATTAGTAACTCAGACACTACAGAACACTAGAAGCGGTTACAGCACCTGGTGTGGAGTGACACTGAAAAGACACACTAAAACACGTGCACGTTCCTCATGACTGGATTTCTGTGAATGCATCAGCAAAGCAGAAACTCTGTTTGTCATGGTTGCTAGAAACATCTGTATATCACACCCACAAGACTGCACATGTGCCAGCCAACTTCAGAGAACCAAGTAATAGCTAACACTGCCTACCAAAAGTCACAAACCTCACAGAGCTCCCCAGGCTGTTATATACTGCACTGGCCTATATCTGTATCTGTATCTAAGAGGTGAAAAAACTGACCACAGAGTTATTAAAAATGTTAAGCTACCAACTCTGTGCAAGAGGTAAGAAAAAGGGCCTTCAAAATTTTCTGTTCTTTTTAGGAAAAGCCTGAATTCTCATGCGAAACATGATTGGTGTTCCAGCCTATCCTATTTACAGGCATCCTAGCAGAATGGTGTTTCAGCATGCTTGGACGTTAGCTGCCAACACTGTTCCTACAGCTCAGCATGATCAGTTTGTAATGATTTCTTTACCCAAGCAGAGCATGCAGCACACAAGCACTCTCTGTATTTCAGCGGGTGCCCAAGGCCAGGCTCTCAGTTCACATAAAGCAGCAGGGCTCCATAGGAGCTACGTCAATTTGGAACAGCTGAGGAACCAGTCCTAGGTCCCTCCCCACCTACCCTGGGACAAGCAATAAATGGTGGGCACTGACCCAGCAGCAGAGACAGGGGACACGCAGTAAGCATCAGCGTAACTTCCCAAAGTACAAAAATAGACTCATATATATGCAACACAACAGAATCTCATAGGCTCAGGCTGTAAGACAGTTCAGACCTGGCTTAAGTTCCCAGGTTAGCAAGGGAGACACAAGTGTCAATACCACATCCCTGCTAGCATTTTGGTTCTTTCAACAGTGACAGCTTTGTGTTAATAGGGTAGGTTACTCTGCCAGTCTGTTAAGGAATGGACCCCTTCACTATCTGCTATTAGGAGAAGCTTGGAACTGTCATTTTTATGTGTGGGTTAAAGAAGCCTTTCCCAGTGAGATTTGCTGCATCACCATCTCTACAGCTTTCCCAACTGCTGCTGTCAGCTAGTGCTGTTATCATAGGTGACCCAGAAAGGACTTGCATGAGTGTTCCCTTACTCAGGAGGGAAAAAGCAAATGGAAACTGTGACAGGAGGCCTCAAAGCAGACCTCTGTTGCAGTAACCCGTCTTGCTGTGCTAGACTTCACCTCTGCAACAGCTGTCTGGCTTCACTGTACATACCACATCAAAGTGGAGCTTGTGTTCTGGTTCTTAAAAGTACAGTGAAGTAACCTGTATCATGTAGTAAGTAGGGGTCTTTTGCATTGATGGCAAGGTCAAGATAGCCATCTCCACGTAGAGGCTGCCATAAGTAGGTAACATCGATTCAGATTAATCTAGAGCTCAAGGTTTTCAGCAGAGCTTTGCAGGAACTGAGCCCAAGTCAATGGCAATGTTCCTCCAGTTTCAGTGGAAGCGGAGTCAGGTCCAAACCGAGCACAGCTGAAAATCCTGCCTCCAAATACTGACCATGGGACTGGCTCTGTCCACAGATACACCTGGTGCCTACTAAGTTGCTGGAATCTCAGAGTACTGTAAGGTATACAATTATATTCCTAGCATACAAATATAAAACAGTAGAAGAACACTATCTTTACTAAAAAGTATGGCTTTCTTAGCTTATTATGTCAACTTGATACAGCTACAAATGCCATTTACCTGCAAATATGGTACCATAGTAGTTTGTTGTTAAAAAAAAACCCACAAAATCAAACCTTGTTTTTAAAGCAAGCTCCCAAGTATCCACTTTTGGCACTAAAATTTCCCATGTGAAAATAACATGGTGGTTTTGTTTTCTAATTTACTTCTATTTACAATTATAACCTTAAAGAATAAGACCTGGAGGCTACTCTTAGGTGAAACAAAAGACAGGTAGAGACCCCCTTAATAATTTTGGCTCAGGCAGATAAATCTGAGTCCAGAACATCCCAGAGCTGGACAGACCACACGTCAAACCTCCACCATCCGACTGCTCTCCCATACCAGTCAGACTGACATAAAATCTGAAGGTACTCTTCTAGAAAAAAATTAAGATCATGTCCCTGGCCCACCCTTTAGAAAAAAATACTTTATTTCATCAGGCTGATCAAAGCCCAGGTTCCAGTCTGGTAATGGGGAAAAGCAAATACAGACATGCACCAAGAAATTAAAAACAACCTCCCAAATGGTAACAAAGCCTACTAAGGATGTGGGTGACATCCGCTTACTTTTTCTTGTCCTTGTCTTTCTTGGTTTGTTGAGAACCTGCCTGCTGAGCCTGTGACTGTAATAGCTGAGCTGCTGCCTTCTTCTTTTGAAAGTTGTTCAGCTCTTCCTCAAGTTCCTTCTTTTTGTCTTCCACTTTTTTCTTCTCTTCTTGGTGAGTCCTCTTTAGATGGTCAAACTTTTCATGAAGCTGCCAGGACAGAGACAATGAGAATTGGACAGGAAGAGAAGAATGTTTCACCCCAGTTACTGGTAATGATGCCTGAAGTAGTTTCACTGCCAGTGAGGCCTCCCAGCATTAATAACAAGTCACTGGCCTGTCCCAAGCACGCCTGACTTTGTGAGAAAAGCCCTGCAGTTCACATACACTTGCACACATGAATGGCAGGAATTTCAGCTACTGTAGGAATATGACAGATCAGGAATATGGTGGTGACATCCCATGTCCCATCCCTCATTACTTCGTATCTAGCATATGCTCTCATGATCAAGCAAAGCAAGAAAACATGGCCATTCAGGGTCTTCTCTGGGGCTCTTTACCTCTGTACAAGTACACACTCCTCCATGAGGCCCCAAAAACCAACTCCTTTCACTAGCAGGATATCTACATTTTCTCTGTCCCATGGTAACCATGCTGACCTACACACACTGAGCAAGCCATGGTAGAGCAGCTCTCAAAGAACTCTTATCACCTTCCTCAACTATGCTGAGTGGGACTTAGGCCATATGGGAAGTCCTTTTCTACTTACTGGAAGTCTCCAGAAAGGCGTGACTGCTAAAGGGCAGCACAGGCTGTACCACAGCTATAGATCCACTGCAAATCAGCATCACTCTGAGCAGCAAATAGTCTCTCCTTTGGGTGGGACTGAAGGGGAGAGGGAGCAGAGAGGACTCCCACATTTCTGCAGGGCATATAGCAGCTGCCACTGTCACTCTGCAGTGCCTCCCACGGTATGTATCCTCCTCCAGGTGCCAAAACCCAGGAAATACTCCTGCTCCATTTTACAGGCACAGAAAAGCATCAGATGACTTGTGTGATGGGGTTACACCACCAGTCCATGGCAGGACTGGGAAGCAAGTTCACATCTGCTTCTTGGGACTGTTTATGCACAGCAAGTACCTTTGCAGGCTTCATGTTGGAATCCGAATCCTCACTTTCTCAGGGATCTCTTGAGAAAGCCCCAGCCTAAACCCTCACACACAGCCCCATAAATTATAACATACTCACATCTTTCTCTGCTTCCTTTAACTCTGCTTCCTTCTCCTTCACTCGCATGACAAACATCTGCCTCATTTCATCTTCCTTCTTCTGGAGTTCGCCCAGGAATTCGTTCCTCTTTGCTTCGTAAGTCTCTTGGAGACTAATAAAACACAGGAAAAACAAATAGTCAGAGATGTGTTTCAAGCAGTCAGGAGTATCCATCCTTTTGTGATCTTACCACATTGCCTTGTCACAGAACATCATCAGAGGTCCCTGACTACAAAAGAGGCACGATCACCTCCACCGAAACCAGTGCTAGCTTGCTAGGTGGCAGCAGCGGGAGATAGATTGACAAGGAAAAAAACAGCACACAGTTCAGGATCCTGCATACCACTTAGCAGGGATGATGACTGTCATTAAAAATAGACAAACACTACATAAGCAGTCCCTGGTGCTCCCATGGCCTGTGATCTTTTTAAATCACACCTCCTCAGTTCTCCCACCGTTTGTCCCTAATCTCGTCATTTGAAGTGCAAGATGTGTGGAAGAGACACATGCATATCACAGTGTGAAATCTGGCTTTACATAGTTCATTAAGCATGACACTGACACACAGCAAAACTCATGTTCACTACTCATTGCTAATGGATTCAGATCAGGGGCTTTATTTAGATCAAGGCACGTTGGGAGACCTCTCTTTCCCCTTTAGCTGTCAAAGGAGGAAAAAATCAAGCCTTTGTGAACAAGCTACAGCATTCCTCCTCCAAATAACCATGTTACTGAATTCCTTCATTCCTTTATTCCCCCTCTACTTCTTGGCATTCCTTTCTTTCCCCAGCAAAGATCTGGGACACAAAATACGTTGTCCACACACCTCTGAGATTTTCAGAGCCTCTTAGGAACTCTGGACACCACATTCCTCTTCATTTTATTCCTTAAATGGATTTCGCTATTTCCTCCATAATGATAGTGTGGGAATGACAACTATTTCCCTCAAGATGCATTTTTTGAAAATGCATTTTTAAAGGGAAAACTCCACTGATATCACACAGATACACTGCATTTCTGCACCTTTGGCTAAGGACCACCTTAACCAAACTTGACACTGCTAATTTACAGGCATTTCAGTTAGAACAAGGCAAGATGGATCTCTGGATTCTTAACTAAATCAAGAACCACAACATTCACGGCAGACAGAGATCATAATACTTCAACCCAAAGATCCCTAAAATTTAGCCTTGGATTTAATCCTCTCACTGTGGACACTGAAACTTAAATTCATAAACCCTTCTGAAAGGTCTGGCTCAAGCCTAGGAAAACCCTGAGGGCAGATTAACCTTGAATACTCAGTGAGCAAGAACTGAATTTGCAATTAGTGACACACTATACTAGGGAGCAGCAGAGCCTTTCAGACCGAAACAGAAAACTCCACATGCTGCTCATAGTATCCTGTATTGCACAAATTTCTTGCAAAGCTCATTTCCAAAAACACAATGCCAGCTGATGGGCAAGCAGGAAAAGGCTGGCACGAATGACGGTGCCAGGGTTTTGCTGTTAAATTTTCCCAGGTTCAATGCTAAACCCAGCTTAAAGCTTCGAAACTCAGCTCTAACCTAAAGCCAGCAAGCTTAATTTTATACTGAAGTGACTCTGACTTCCAGACAAACAAAGTTCTTGGAGAAACCGGCCTCGCAGCTCCAGGCTGCATCTGATAAGAGCACTTAGAGCTCTAAGGAATAACAGTCCAAAGTGACTGGGATCCCTGCAGCTTCTCCCAAAGACGACTGGGGAATTTGGTTTTTAAGTACACAACCACATGAACCTAGATTACAGGAGTAACTCGATTCACCAATACACCCCCACATACTGGATGATGCCCTCACAAATAACATTCTTTGCCAAAAAATGGGTTGAGAAAAATAACTAGAGCAGCAGAGAAACCAGCCCACACAGAGGACCCGTTTCACAGAGCAGATGTCTACGGGGGCACTGGTGCTCCCTCCTCACCTCCTGCAGCTTGGACAAGCATTAAGGTCCTGGCCAGCACCGCCACCCTCCCTTTTTCACACCTCGCACAAGCATCCAGACAGCACCAGTGGTTTGCTGGGGTCTCCTGCCCTGCTCACCTTGAGACTCACAAAAGGCTCCTAGCTCCTGGCTGATGCAAACCGGCTGAAGAGTGGCGGTCCCTGTGGCTCCCAGGGCCCATTCTGAGGGAACAGGCATCCTTTGATCCCTGGTCTCACAAGGAAGATCAGAAAGAACCAAACCTCCTGTTTTCCTCATTTCAGATATACATCAGCCTCGTCCAGACAGCTTGGGATCATGGATTTTGTTTGTTTATTGGAGGAAGAGGCACCCAGAGCAAACGGTTCTCAATCTGCACGTACCAGATGGAGAAATTCTGTACATTTTAATTTCCTTTCTACTTATAGCTTGGTTAAAAGAGGCCTCGTGTACAGGAAGCAATGGAAATTCCTCAGATTCCTCAAAGGGAAGGGCTGACCCCATCTTAAGCCATTGCTCTCCAGAAAGGACATCCAATAAAGCCTCACACTTGGGCTTTAGTAACAGAACTGGCCTTGACTGATTCCAGCAGAGTTTCTGTGCTGCAAAAGAAATGCAGCTGCATAAACTCAGCAAGTCAAATTCTGAACTGATGCAAACTCTGTTGTACTGCAGACCTTGCTCAGCTCACCATGGAGTACTGTTTCCCAGAAACATGAACACAAGGCCCCCACTCTGCTTCAGCTCTGAAGCCAGCTAGCTTTCTCCTGTTGAGGATCAGAGATGAACCATGCCTGTGGCTACCTGTGGAAGCCAGCAGCATGGCTGCTGTCTCAGGGATTGGCACACCAATTCCTGATATGTATGTGTTATGGGGATAAATCCATACTGATAAATTTAATTCTGAATGCCTTCTCCTGGAGCAGAAGAATGTGGAATGTTGCTAAGGCACTGGGCTCAATTATTGGGGAAAAGCTGGGGAGGAATGGGAAACAGGAAATTTAAGGAGAAAACAAACACTCTCTCCCAAATTCCCACACAGATGTTGTCCTTAGCTAATGGCCTGGGCTTCAGACCAATAAAGCTGACAGCACAAACTCTGCATTTAGTAATAAGCCAAACCTTGAGAATGAGACCATGCACCCTCTTCACAGCGCACCTTGGACCAGCTACAAAAAGCTCTAGGAGGGTCAACAAGAGCATTTATCCCAAGATATGCCCCTTGGTAACCAGTTATACCTCAACATGTGACACTTTCATCTTCACATAGACACAGCTGCACTTTTCAAGCCCAGCAATTGTACACGGCCCTGACTTGCAGCAGAGCAAGTTGGCTGCAAAACACAACTGAGTCTGCAGGGTAAGAAAGGGGCACTAATGTATCCCCTGACCATCTCAAAACCTGCCCTGCACAGGCAAAAAGTGTCATGATGAATTTCTGAAGTCATTAACAAAGTCACTAGTCAACAGATTGACCCACGTCTCCATGAATGTCATAGTACTACCAGTAGGAAGATGAGCGTAAGCTTCACTGCAGACTGGACAGTTTACAGGTTTTAGGAAAGCAGGGATGGGTAGAGGGAAGAAAAAAAAACAAACCCCAAAATCGACTTCCCAACCCCAAATACAGGATTCTCCCAGCTTGAAAAATCAACAAGTCAACAATGTGAACAGCTCTCCACAAGGAGTGACAGGAGGAACACTTAGAAATCAATCCTTTCAAAACTTTCAGTGCTGGCTGACAGATAACAGGTGAGAGAGAGACTGAAAGGCAAGCACTTGTTAAGAAACACTATCAGGAAACTGACACAATTTCAGTAGCAGGGCGCAAGCAGATCCATGGACGTATTCTTCTTCCTCCTAAACTTTCCAGGCTGATCTCAAGTAGGTCATGTGCGACCCTCAAAACACATCACCTTCCACACCCTGGTGACATTCTGCAGGCTGTAAAAAGCCTGTACAGCCTTGCTGCAAAGCGTTAAGGCAAGAATTGGCTTTCTCAGACACCCAAGCTTTTCCCATGCTTCTGTACAAATTCTAGGCCCTGAGGGCAAGACTGCATTGCACAAAGTTCTCCTCCCCAGCCGCACTTTAGACCTCAGCTGCTCTAAGTGACCATGGCTGTTCCCTCCCTGCTTCTTGCAAACATCCACAACCCCAAAACTTCCGGTCTCCCTGGTTGTACAAGGCCTGAGTTATGCTTTCCTACCTGAAAGGCTTGCTGTCTGGATCCGTGTCCTTGAATCCCATCTCCTCAAGCTTGCAGCGCCTGTAGAGCTCATAGTGTCGGGTATGTGTCTGCTCTCTCAAGTCCTCCATGTTCACTCGGATCAGCATCTCCCGCAGCTTCACAAAGTCACAGTGATTTTCATTTTCAACTGCAAAAAAGACAGAGAGGAAGTTAAACCCAGGAGCCATGTCCCTCCTCCTTTCCCTGGACCTGGGGCTCCAGTTGAGCAAGGCTGAGAGTTCTTCAGGTACAAAAGGAGAACCCCAAGTCACCTTGCACCAAAATGCCTTACTGAACTGGGATGAAACCATCCTATGCCAACACATGCGCACCAGTCCAAGGCTTTTCACTGGATTTGCAAGATCTCTGTGTTTCTCTTTGTATCAGAGCTTTCATCTCTCCATGCATTTCTGCACCAACAAGGGGAAAATCCATCTGCACACAGGATTTCAGTTTTCACTCAAATCCACTCTAAATCCATGTCACCAGTGGAGGCCCGGACAGGCAATGAAGTCTGTTTGCAGCAGTGGTGAAAGGAAAGGTTATGAGAAGACCCATCAGAGATGCTGTACCCTTTCCATGCCAGCAAACCTTACAGAGGAGCCCTGCCCCTGGCACTGAAGAGAAGCAGCATAGAGTAAATCATGGCTTTACATAGCAACTTCTATGACAAGTAGAGTCTGGCATGCCACTGTCAGCCGTTGGGTGACAGCAAGCTGGCCAGCCCACAAAAGGCCTGCAGCCAGAGTGCAAGCAAACAGATTGGGTCTGCTTAAACACAAGGGGTGGAAGTTCTCTCTTTAGAAAGCAACAGGAAGCTGCATACTCTCTGCTGCTAATAGACCAGTCTGCAACACACCTCCAGGGACCCAGTGAAGCACTCCGGCTGATCCCCTTTGGACTACAGCATCTGTCTCTGGAAAAGGGCCGTTCAGGGCTGGATCTTCAAAGTCTCCCTGGTACCCAACTAAATCTCTTGGACTATCTGGTTCTAGCTTCCTGGGAACAGGAAGAACCCAGCACAATGCATGTGTAGTCCAAGACCTGCCAAACATAATCAACTTCTTTCCTAATTGTGGTTATTCCCAGTATTACCCTCTGGTGTACACAGCTGAAGACAGCAAGTCTGAGGCTGCTTCAGGTCCAGCTTGTATGACTGAGGAAAAACTTGGTGAGTTTTGCAGAACTGGCCTGTAGCTGTTCCCCTGCAGCTTGCTGGGCCATCCTCCAGCTGGACACACAGCTGAAGCCTCAAGCTGACCACTACCACATCAACCCTGTACTCGTCAGCGCTGGTTGGGAAAGCAAACATCAGCCCTGTCTTTGGCCGCATCAGTACAGCCTGGACTGCAAAGGCTGCCCAAGCCAAACTCTGCTCTCCAACAAAATGGAGCTTTTGGTTGACTTCAGGGGGGCTGCATACTTTAGCTACACATCTACATTAAGGATACCAGGACAAGACATACCAAGCAGCCAGTGCAGTCAGCAGGGCACCTGCTGACCTCCCTGGAAAATCCCCAACCACATTTTCGTTCAGGCTTGGAAGCAAGGTCCAAACCACTCGGCTGCCCCAGCCTTTCCTTTGCTCACACTTCTCTGCTGCCAGAAAACCATCAGGAACAGAAAATGGCAAGTTTTCACTTTTAAAGCTAGTCATTTAACATCTCTCAAAACTGATCGCAAGGTTGACATCACCACCCTGCCACCAAACCCCCTCCATGTCTAGATCTGGGTTGCAAAGCTCTGATTCTAAGGAGAATTCTTAAGGGCTTTGATCTTCCTTTCTCAAGACAGATTTTGGTAAGAACCATACAGAGATCAATGCACCTTTCATCAGAATGAGACAGGATGACAAGGTTTTATTCATGCTTTCGGTAACATACCCTGCACAACACCCCAGGGGTACTGCCTGGCTTTTGCCATCTTATTGCCGATCTTCACTTCTTCAGTGCTGCCAACTACAGCAAAAGGAAGGTGGACCTACAAAAGGAAAGGGACAATGAGGTTAGGGATTTCCTTTGTTGCCTTGCCAGGGATTGTATCTGAAGAAAGCTGTTTACTGTGGCAGCTGTGCCAGATTTAAGCTGCTTAAACACCTTTGCTATTCATCTGGTGCTTTAGAAAGAGCAACAGGACAACTGGGATGAGAAACCTGACCAGACTTAAAGTCCAAAATCCTGAAGTCCCCAAAATAAGACACGTACACCATTTTCATGTAATTACAAAGCACGACTGTCTTAAGCACAGAAGGCAGCTTACAAACTGGAATTGAATTTGAGCACTGGAATTGAAACTGAGTTATTATTTGGAAAAAATAACTGTTCTACAATAAAAGAAAAGAACAAAATGAAACCCACCCTCCCAAGGAAGGTAGGCTAAAAATTCAGGGTGCTTCTGCTGCTAGAAATAGCTGCTAGTGCTTCCTCCTAAAGAAGGCAAAGCTGTGAGCAAGGGGAAGAGAGGAGGCGACCCAGCCCTGGGCTGACATATCTGAGTCATGGAGCTCTGCACGCTCCCAGTCTCTCCAGGGGTGTGGTGGTGACAATCTGGGATCTGCTCCCAGCAGTGTGGCTGCTGCCAGGAGGGAGCTTCCCTCTGCCACCAGTCCACACCCAGGGTGCTCTCGCTGCATCCAAAAGGGCTGAGACTGGGTGCTGTGCTGGCCAAGCCATGGTCACAGGCCGGGTGGGGAAGGGAAGGAGCCAAGTGACAGAGGAGACATGATTAACTGGCAAAGGAGTTTCAACGCAGCCAGGCGGCACCAGAGGAAGGCAAAAGACATGGTGCACCCTGCCACAGTCACATCTCTGCACCAGCTGCTCCCTGCTGAGAACACAATACAGGCAGGGAAAAGAGGCAATACAAAGGTTTGTAGAGGATCTGATATCCAGATGGATGTGCCAAGTGCCTATCTACATGCAGTTGTGCAAGGAAAAAAAAAAAAAAAAAAAGGCACAAAAGCCTCGAAGTCACAAGGAAATGTCTTGATCTTAATGCCTCCATTCACCATAAAAACATGGTTAATTCAACCCTGTGCTTGCACTTGCTTTAGAATTGGCACTCGTCTTGGGTGTCATGTGCCCTACTAAAGCCACCCAAGTGCCCTACAAGCACTGCTGGGCTAGACATCACTGACAGAAACCCTGAGCTCAGGCTCTTCTCCTTGCACTCCAAGTTAAGCCCATGGGAAACAGTTGTTTCCCCTCTGTAAACTCCACTAAAACGATTTTACCCTAGCCCTGTTTGCCCTCAAATCCCACACCTACTGCTAGAGGAAAGGAAAGGAGGTGAACACCAGAGTGCTTATGCTGATAGCCAGTGGCCCTGCTGGAGCTGGAACATCATTGATGGTGCCCCCACTCTCACTGGAAAGTAAAACAAAGGCAGAAGTGAATCACCCCCCATTACTCAACAAGTGGTGGTTTGGGACAGGAAACCCAAACCCCAGCCCTTTGCCCTGACCGTGGGGGGGCCCTGCCTCCCATCCTCTTCCTTTCCCAAGATGGGAATACTGCAACAGGGGAAGGATGTGAAAAAATGCTCAGAGGAGAATCATTTATCAGACAATGAAGTATAGCAGGCCAGGCAGCCCACATGTGATAGGTATCTCCAGCTCTAAAAGCCTTTTGACCAGCCTGGTGTTTGGGCTTAGACTGCAGTTTTAAAGCCAAAAAAAACATGTTCAATGTGCCCTACCATCAAGGATGGGCCCACACAAACCTAGGCAAGCAAAAGTGTAAGGCTTCCCTGACCACAGCAGTGGGTTGGAACTACATGAGTGCTACTGCTGAACCCAGGACAAAGTCCTTTCCAACCCAAACCATTCTGTGATTCTATAGCCCCCCTCTCCCCCCCAAGAAACATACACTCATCGTTGCATTTATCTCAGCCACTGTCTCTTCATCCGTTGGGAACTGGTAGATCTGGACACCGTTACTGACCAGCTCGCTCATGATTTTACTCTTGAACTTGTGCAACTCATTTTTTGCAATGGTGTCTGCCTTGGCAATGATGGGGATGATGTTCACCTGCAAGACAATGATAGTACTTTCACATACAGGCCTGCACACACTGCATCACCAGGAATGCAGTCCTCTGAGGGCCACCAGTCACTGTTCCCCCAGAAGATCTTCCCTGGGGCTACTACTGACAGCACCACTGCCTTAGACAGGATTTTTCAGGCAGCTGTGATGATGGCCTTAAAAAGAAGTCAAATGTAATCTGGCAATATGCTATTTCCTGTCCTGTTGCATTCCCCTCCTCCTCCAAATTGGCTGGACAGGAAATGCTGGCACAGATTATTACAAGCTGTTCCAAAAAGAAAAAAAAAAAAAATAACAAAGAAAATTGCCATCTTGGCACTTCTCTTCCACACCACAGCAGGATGTATTACTGCAAGAGACACACTCAGACGGCAGCCTCTCGTGGGTGTTTGTGTATCAGGGACACCCAGGTGGGCAGCAGTGCTGCTGTTCCCCTTCTGGAGATGGAAGCAGATGGCCCACATCCAACCATACAGCATACAGAGTGGGTGATGGCAGGAATACAGGCACTCTTCCTCCACCTGCACACCCTCACATGCTCCCAGACACAGCTGTACGGTGGGAGGAGGGTTCATTTCTCCCTGCACAGCTCTAAGACAATCATCCAAAGGAATGTCATGATGGGATTAATACAGAAATGGAAGGTAAAGTCCTGACTCTTCCCTAGGCAGGCTGTTGGCAACACTGGCAGCAGGATGCCTCTAGGAGCCAAGAGGAGATAGCATGGTACCCTCAGTGTAGCTGAATGGCTCGATGCACAGCGAGCACCACACAAGGTTCTGCTTTGCATGGAGAAGGCAAAAAAGCATTACGACAAAAAATCCTGCTTGCTTTCCCTTCCCGCTCCCTCAAAATGGTCTATTTCTGCTCTAGATCTTGCAGGGTTTGCTTTTCCTTGCAACAACAGACTGAAATGGTAGTGAGGAAGATGCTTATATTGACCTTTACAAAGGGATTTTAACTACAGTACCTGAAAACCCTCATATGCTTCATCACTTAGTTCTGTTTTGAGGGCGGCCTGGAGTTATTAAAGCCCCCTTTGCCAAAGATAAAACATGAATGCCAATTAGCTTGCTTTGGGTAAATCTCCATAACCGTGTTTTAAGTTGAATAGGGCAGGGATCCTTCTCCATCACTGCACTAAACCCAGCTGATAGGCCACTTTATGAAAAGAGATTACATTTCTTTTCTTTAAATACAACCCCATGGTTAAAATCAAGCTTGGTTCTCATTCTTGCTAGTCATTAAGGGTAACTGAAAAAACACATGCCAAGTAACATATTTATTCAGATTCTTCCTGTTTATCACATTATGGTTAGAACAACACAACATTTGCCATGAAATACCAAACCCCTGTTCGTGTCTAGCTGGATGCAGTCAGAACACCTAGACACAGCATTTTGATTTGGTTTTCATTGATTAGTAAGATGAGCTCAAGTGGTTTAGACGTACTTATCTCATATGCACTTATCAAGTTTTGTACAAGAGCCTAATTGATTTGTTGGACAAAGTGAAACACAGATGATGACCACACCTTTGAGTGCTAGAACTAGCAGAGTTCAACTTGAACCTCTCATTTTTAGTTATGCATTTAGGGAGGAAAACACACTTTTCTTTCTTTTTCAACAGCCAACTGAGCTTCCAGTTGTGAGCTGGGGAGCAAGCGGCCATGTTTCCCAACCCAAGATGGGAGTGGAAGAAACTTAATAAATCTCTGCAGCATACAGATCAGTGAGTAATGACTCATTTTAGCAGCTAGCCCAAGATAAAGTTTTCATACAGCACCTCTGCAGTTCCCCACTGCTAAAAACAGACAGCACTCTTCTAAACAGGTTTAACTAAGCCTGTGGCAAGACCACAGAAGAGTTAGCAGGGCCACACAAAGGTCATAACACAGGCAACAAATACCTTACTGTCGAGCTTCTTCATGGTGACCAAGTCTAGGGACTTCAGTGAGTGTCCAGTTGGTGCAATGAAATACAGGCAGGCATGAATTCTGGTGTCATGGTAATTGAACAGGGATCGCTTGATCTTCAGCTCTTCTTGCAAGTAGGCTTCAAACTGTGCATCAATATATTCTACTATAGGCTTGTAGCTGAAGAGAGAGAACATGGCACAGAGAAAACCAGGGCATTCACGGGTAGGGTGACACAAGTCACTGACGGACACTTCATCACGGAAGCTTCATGGGTGCTTGGTACATTATAGGACAAGTGCTGTTCTTACAACACTCCCCACTCAACCTGCAATCCCTCCTTAGCAAGCGTGTGCTCCCACTCAGTGCACAGGAAGCATTTTATGGATGCATTAGCAAGATAAAGTGGCAGAGACCCTGGACTTCACGTGCATGGACTCACAAGGCTGTGACCCCGAAAACCAATGTGTTTTGCAGTCTCTCCAACTAAGGTCTGAGCTGCTGCTCTGCCCATGTCACTGAGAATCAGCTAACACAGGAACATTCAAACACGAAACTGCCACCTAACCGACCTTGTCCAAAACCTTGCTCGTGATCTTAAAAAAGGGCAGACCTCCCGAGGTGGGCAGCTCCATAGAGGAGCCTTCAACCCCGGAGCGAGGGGAAACCCCGCGTCCGGGAGCCCCAGTTCTGAGCGGGGAGAGCCGCCGAGGGAGCCCCGGGCCCTGGCCACGCCCTGCCTCAGCTGAGGCGCGCAGGGACTCGCAGGGGGCGGCGCCAGCAGGGACGGCTCCGCCCTGAGCGGGTAAAACCTTCCTCAGGGAGCGCGGGGCCTGCGTGTGGCGCGGCGGTTGGACGGAGGGAGCGGGCGGCCCTCAGCGCCCGGGCGTGCTCTGGCTGCCCCGGCGGTGGCAGCGCAGGCACCAGAGATAGCCGGTGAGAGGGGAGGCTGCGGAGCAGAGCTCGGGGTGTCGAAAGGGCCTGCACCGGTCTGGTGAGGTGAGGGTGCGCAATGGGCAGGGCTGCAACCGGTGGAGGTGCAAAGCTCAGCAAACAACTGCAGTGTTTATGTACTTGAGGGGATCGTTTTACTGGAGGGAAAAAAAACCCCACAAGTTGGTGCAACATGCCCTGCTCTATATGGCTGTGCTTTGGAAAGGAAGCATTCCGGTCTGTTTCTCCCTAGACCAAGAGCAGCCTCATGACCTCCAGCCGAAGGAAACTCTCAAAAGGAGGGCACTGGAACACCAGCACCACTGTCTTGAGCACTGGATTTACAGCAGTGTTAATTCCATCCCTCAAAAACAGCTGTGAGAAGGAACTAGACCGTCAGCAGTTTTCAGGTTCTTCAGAAACACCCTCTAACTCTTAACAGGCAGCCAGTAAAGCTCTGGTCCGGCCCCTCTGCTCCAGAAGCCAGTGCAGCTGTGGAGCAACTGCTCTAAACCCTTGCTGAAGCAAATAAGTGAAAGCTATAGCAGAAGACAGCCAGTGCTGTGTGAGTGCTGCCAACATCAGAGACCAGTAAGAGAGTACTGAGCAGTGCTTGTTAATCTGTGGACACAGAAGGTACCATGAATATCACTAGGTGGGTTTGCAGTATCACTGCTGCTCTGGTTTCCTTGCTTGTGGAAATTCTGTCTCTGATGATGAGACCCCAAAAGCCTCAGACACAGGCATGTTGCAAAGAAAGCAGTAAGGCCTTACACTGAGAGACTGTATTAGATAAAACCACTGTGGAAAAGCAGAGCAAGGAGGACTGGGAGGACTCAAATCAGAAGCACAGAATAAATCCCACCGACAGGGCACATCAGGATGACAGAAGCTCTGCCTACAGACTGCTGTGGCTGCCCCTCTCTCCAGCTGCCAAGAGGGGAAGTCAGATGGGCTTTGCCACCAATACTGCTGGCTCTGTGCTGAATAAGGCAAATGCAAAATGACCTGGCAGTTAAGACGCTGCCGAGCATCCCTGCTCAGAGCACCTGCTCCTCTGAGCAGCTTTTGTTCTCACCCGGGAGCATATGGCAGTGTCTGGCATGTAGCACTCGCCCCTCACTGTTCAGCTCTGCAGCATTAGATAGGAGCAGGAGCAGCAAAGCAGGGACAAGAGCTGCATTTTGGTGTCAGGTCAAGCAGCAAGCAAGCATTACAGAAAAAAATATTTTAAATTTTCCTTATGGAACAGGAAGCAGAACCTGCTGATCTCCATGCTAATGGGGATCCCAGGGGAAACTGTGATGTTAAGCTGGTATTTTCAAAGAGCTGATGCTGTCTTATCTACAGTGCCCCAGTAGCGCTTGGTTAGCACATGTGCTGCCAGCCAGTGTGCCCCTCACTTGTCAAGGTGCAGAGAAGAGGATCACAAACAACCCTCCAGATGGAGCTGGGATTAGTCCAAGAAGGGTATGTATGGCTCCAAGATACAAAAAATGCATTAATTAGTGAATTAGCCATAATCACAGAATGACAACTTTTAACACTACAGCAAAAGTCCATATGGATGGACTCAAGGGACTGCGTAGGCTGCCCAGAGTATCTAATTCATGCATGCAATGTGACAAATCGGGTCTTAGCTAAAAGTAAAACCCACTTAGACTTGAGCATCCCAGGATGGTGTGAACAGGAACTCTGATCTGAGTTGTCTCCCTAAAAGATGAAATTGCAATTTGAACTCATGCTTTCAAATATTTATATGTTTCAATGCAAACAGAGACTGCAACTAGGCTGCACAGAGTCCAGGAAGGTAGACAGTTTCAGTTCAGTATAGTTGATCTGTTTGTTCTTCACTTCAGTTTCTCCTTACTTCTACCTGTCTCATGTGGTGAATGATGCCAGCTGCCACACCTGGATCAGGAAACACCCCCAAGAACAGTGAGAGACCCACTCCCCACATAGGATCAGGCCCTTCTGATCTCAGGCCACATCAGTGCAAGGATTACTTCACCTGACACAAATGAACTTACCTGTCATCTTTGTTAATCTGATCACCAAATCCAACTGTGTCGACAATAGTCAGCTTCAGACGGACATTACTCTCCTGGAGCTCATAACTCCTGGCTTTCAACCTCACACCAGGCTCGTTGTGCGTCGCAGGTTCACTTTCAAACTTGGTATTGAACAGAGTGTCCATCAACGTTGACTTACCAATGCCAGTTTCGCCTGAGCAGACAAAGGCAACGTTAGTATGATCTGATTGCTTTTCCTCATTTCATTCTCAGGCACATGAACCAGTCTGAGGAGTTACTCCACATGGGCAGCAATGGAACTGCTCTATGTGCACACGGCTAAGCAAAATTATCCCTTCAGGAACAGGTCTTTTGAGACAGTCCCCATCTTTACCAATGCCCAAGGATGTAATCAGAGACTTTGTGGGCATTGGGAGGTGACAGCAGCTCTGACTTCTGCTTCTGGGCTCTGTCTAGTCTCCTCCTCAGGTCACAGCATCCAGGTCTCTGCAGTGCACCTTGCAGACGTACATGAGCAAAGCACCACACGCTGTGGACATGAATCTGAAGTAAGGGCCTGTTAATGCAAAAGCATTTTGCCCTGACAGACACCAAGATAAACCAAATGCCTTCAGAGCTAGAAGCCCTCTCCCACAGGTGAACAGCTAGGCTGCTGGGCTGGGAATGGCAAGAGAAATTTGCGGACTTACTGCACACACAGAGAGGGAGAGTCATTTCTGTTATTAGTTAATATTTCCCATGGGATATGGAGAAATCGGAGAGGATGGCCTAAAGCTTATGGGGCTCCCCGAAGAAAAGATACTAAATTAAAAGGAAGAAAAAAATAAGTAAAAATACAGAACAACGACAGTTGATGCAGGTTCCATCCTGCTTAATGGAGAAAGAGCCCCAAGCTTCCCAGCTTGCAAGTGACAACTGCATTCAGGACAGCAAGAAGCCATTCTTACTGGAGAAATGCTGAATTCTCTCCTTAATAGAACAGGTAAAGTTCTAGTTCTGATACAACTTTCTTTACAGAAGCAAGTTGTAGATTGTCTCAACTCCAAGTTTGATTCCCAAGGAGGTATTTGATTTTCTGCATGTTTTTATGCCTTTTTTTAATCCCTCAGTTTCCCTTCCTTTTTCAAGAGCATCCAAAAGAACCTACAGCATAACTTGGTCAATGAAAACATAGGACAGAAATATACATAAAAAGTTTTTTTAAATATAAAATAGCCCTGCTCTAAATACCAGCTTTTAAAACTATTACAGGTTCACTAATCCCCAGTGCAATTAGTAACAACGATGACAGCATTAGTCTAAATCCCATTTTAAAGTCGTGTTTGCTTAGCAATTACACTCTCAAACTGCTACTGCTGCTCATGCTGTGAGCAGGGACTTGCTCCAACTAAAGAGATGCTGGGACATGGAACAAACCTCCTGGACTACAGTGGGCAGCTCTTGGCATTTGGAGGTCGGGCATCCCTACTTTTTATCATGACCAACCCCCCCCCACCAGTCTTAGTAGGCGTGAAGAAAAGCAATGTAAAATATCAGGAGGGAGAGTCTGCATCTGGGATTGTCCATAAGCATCCCTGGGCTGTGTTCAGCTCTCCTAGAATGAATCTCTCTCTTAAAATATGTTAAAACCCCACTTAAAAGGCGTTATAAAACCATGTAATATTTGTGTGCACAAAAACAAACACTAGTCAGCAACAGCCTGTTATCCTGTGATATTCAACAGTTCATTTGACATTATAGCTCAGAATTTAAGTCCACCTAGAGCACAACCCCAGTAAAGGATCAGTCATAAACTGATGGCACAGACTGCTCATCTCTGAATCTCCCTGTTTTAGTGAGCTCCTGATGGGAACGCAGTGCTGCGCTAGATGGGCTTTGCAGTGTTTTATCCATGCACACCACAATTAGAAGTCTCAATTACAATGCCAAAGTTAATTGGGTCCTTTCTCAAAGCACAATTTCAAAGGTTTGGGGTTTTATTAAAGGGGGATATTTCTATTCCTTGGACAACTGCAGCAATTTGTGTGAAATTTTAATTTGGGGTGAAAAATGGTTGATCAGCACATTCTACAAGAAAAAAAATTGAGCTGGACTAAATTAACTGACATGTTAAGAGAGGAATATTTACTGCAAGAGAAAAAGGCAATTAATTGATGCCATTTTGATCAAAGAGCTGCCTGCTAATCAGGCTGTTCCCTGCTGAATTTGAAATGGTTTCATGCTGCTAGGAGAATCACATGGGGGTTGGTGGCTTGAGTGTGCAGAAGTACAACTATTCTCTTATCTCGTTCTTAGACATGCAAAGCTAGAGAGAGGAGTCTAGTTTGTTGCCAGGTTTCCTTTCAGATGGCTCATCCTGTGCTGCAGACAAAAATTCTCAACTCAGTGTAGAAAAATAACAGAGTTGGGTTCTTTTTTTCAGCTAATTAGTGTAACTAATTAGAAGGGACAATACTCCCTTGCAAGCTTTACATGAATAGTGAATGGGAAAAATGATGTTTGTAGGCTGCTCTGCCAAACTAAGAGTAAACACCACCGTTTTTGTCAGCTTACTGAACCATGTTCTGGGGGGTGTCTTGTAGAGGTCCAGCAAGGCTCCAAGGTGGTTTGGCACACAGCTCCCTAGGGCTGAGCAATGGATTTCCAGTTGTGTAGTATCCAAAGAGCATACCAAGAGAGCAGGTATCTCTAGAGCCAAGAGAAGAAGCTGCATCCCCATATTTCACCTTCTGAAAAGTAATGCAGTAACTCAAGCTATAAAACCAACTTGCAGCATCCATATTAAATACAGCAGAGAAGAGGTGACAGGTTTTGTTCTCAAGTACATCATTTGGAGGCTAAATATGGCATTGTTTCCAAATGGAGAAACTAAGAATATAACAAGATGGGCAGGTAAAGCCTGGAAGGGAAGGAAAGCAATTTATTGAGAAACACCCAACCTGGAGAAAGACAGATTTAAGTTCACATTCTTTTAAAAGTACACTGAGTTCCCAAGTTATCTCCATTTCCTTATGGGCTGCCCTTGAGGAACGCAGTACTACAGGATGACTCCAAAGGTAGATTTTAACAGCCAGAAACTTCCATGTTTTGCCTTGGGGGACAGGATAGAGAAAAGGAAGAGAGGGATACTAGATTTGACCCTGGAGCAAATCTGGGAAGAAACTGTCACTTCTCTGCCACTATGGTCCCACTGGCTCAGACCTTACCCCTCACAGGAGGAAGAATGTGTTCATCTGTGGATACCTGTGCACCCCTTTGTGTGAGCTGATGGCCCAGTGGCACAGGATGACTTACCCACACAGAGGATATTGAAGCAGAAGCCCTGTGACGTTGACTTGTTGACCAGCTGATCAGGGAGGCTGTCGAAGCCCACGTGGCCAGAGAGGGACAGGTTCCTAAGGTCATCATTCTGTAAGACCGAGAAGGCAGGCATTTAGCAGGGTTGCAGTGCCCCTGCCAGGGAAGAACGCTGTGCCTAGTGCTGTCAGAACCATGTAACATCGCAGGAGTTTGAGACACAGGATCTTTCTGTCTTAGGTTCGCCACCCAAACATGCTCTCCTTTTACTTATATCCAGGTCTCCCCTGTGGAGCTTAAGGCCTAAAACATCCCCAGTCCCAAGGCATGCAAACACCACCAGACTTTTTCTACATACCATGATTCTATCCTGATTTACAATACTCAAACATCGTTTCCAAGGCCTCAGTGTCACATACCCCTAGGGTTTCATGAATATTATTTAGGCAGACACCTGGAATAGACAACCCACAGTGAAATATGGGTTCTCCTTGGCTTAGTTTGACAAGGGAGTTGAGCAGCTCTCTCATGCTCACTCTATCCTCCCAGCACTTTTCCTGCAACCTTTCAGCATGGCCACATCATGACACCCCAAGACCATTTTGTGGAGGGTAATGGGGCAGCACAGACCTGGCAGAATGGAGACCTGAAACAACTCCAAGATTATATTTAGGACTTTTCCATAACAACTGTACAGTGATTCACAGAGAAGCTTGTAGAAAGAAGGCAGCCCAGTTATCTCTTCCCTGGCAATTTGCAGTTATGTCAATACCTGAGCACAGACAAAACAAATATCAATCAAAAAACCACCACCAACTTGGTAGACCTAGAGCAGCTCTGCTGATATTTTACACGTTTTTCTCCAAAAATCTGTTATTCTTAAGATACTAACTTTTCTCCAAACTTAAACATTTCCAGCAGAGTCACTCCTCCAAGGCCATACTGTTGACCTAAATTACAGTCGTGGGCAGCTTCAGCCTGGTTTAAAGATGCTGAAAACACCAGCTTCTTTTCCACAAGATCAGTGGGCTCTGAACCATACATGGAAAAAAAGACATTCTTTGGTTGTTAAAATAAGAATCCAAAGCAGAGGAGGGCTTCTCATGCTCTGCACAATTGCTGAGCATCTCCACTTCCCTCCACAAACAGCCATCAACTGCAAGAAGTAGGTTACCTCTGGGCTGAGCGCTGATGAAAATACAACTCAGACTTGAAGAAAAAAAATGAAATTCTCTGAGAAAGGCAACATCGTAAAGTAAAAACGTCACCATATGGCACAAAGGGCTCCTTTTTGCCATACTGGCACACACAGCTTGACACCTGCAGTAGATCCCTAAGCTTTAACAACTGAACCAGGCTTGTCTGAAGGCTTAATGCCAATACACCAGACTGTCCATGTCCACCCCTCCATGTACTGGACAGCTATTCACCAGCACCCTACCACTGAAGCTGAATGTGACTGACAGATGTCACCTCCTTTACTCAGACTGTAAAAAAACAACCCACAACATAAAAAGAGACCATGACCTCATTTACCTGCAACAGTGATTTTCCTGGGAAAACCATGTGCAATGGAAGACCACCCTGGGATTTACGCATGATGTGAATGGGTTAATTTAAATGTTTGCAACATTGGTATTTTTAAAACACCAGTGGGTTGGGTTTATGATGAACTGAAGGGAGCTCGGAGCAGATCCCAGAAAGCAGTAGGTGACCATGACTCACAGGCTTCACAGAAAGCAGTGGGTGTTGAACATCTCTCAGCAGAGCACCCATCTCTCTCTCTCTCTCTGATGTATTTTGGGAAAGCAAGTACTGCCTCATCATCAGTTACTCAGCAGGAACAGGAGTCAGCCTCATCTCCTGCATCTGTGTCAGTTATTTTTGCTGCATACCTTCTCATTTCCTCCCCCCCCTTTTGTTTTCCTCCAAGTCGTAAACATCAACAGTAGAAAAAACAAAAGCTATCTCCATACTTTTCAATGTCAAGTGCTTTTCACAAGCTGTGAAATTATCAATTGACAGTTCTGGCTTTATCAGCTCAACACTGCTCCAGTCTTCAGCCCTTGGCCTGCCCAGGGAGGGGGCAATGACTGAAACCACTACAAACTCAAGAGTAGCTCGTGACCTCAGGTTTAATCCTCATGTAACAGAAGCTTCTGCTGGAGAGCAACAAGCATGATTGCTCAGTGTATAATTAGCGGAATAGGCAAATGATTCACACTTTCAGTCTGGCAAAATAGAAGTGTTTAAAAAACAATGGGATGCTAAGTCAGATGGCCACACTGCTCTAACTGAAAATAGCTCCTGAGAGGAGTCAGTGGGCTGGGGTTTGGTCTCAGGTGAGTCACCCCACTGCAAAATGGGCACCTCCAGCTGAAGCATAGTCAAAGGCTGACCCAGGGCTCCTTGCTCCACAGATACGAGCCCAGAGCCCCTGTGTGCACCCAACAAACTAGGGGAGCGATGCTACAAGCACTGATTTATTCCTTCAGCCACAGAAGGCAGTAGTGCTGCCCAGGCACTTCACCCAGGTGAAAAGGGATATCATCATCCTAACTCTTCCCAAGGGTATTCCTCATTTTCCCCCAGAAGATGAGCAGAGCTCAGCATGCCTTTGAGTTCAGCACAACTCCAGTCTTTCCCCAGTCCTGCACCTAAATACAGTCCTGGACCTAAACAACTCCTCAGCTGTCACTCACAGTAACACAGCCCTAAGAAATGCCTTATTAATGCACAGACAAGCCACTGTATCTGGAAGCACTGACTTCTTACAAGAACTACTGTTGGCCAAGCACCTCCCCTTGCTTGCAGCTTCAGGAGTGACAGACAAGATCAGTGTGGGGAAAACCGCAGCTCCCCAGAGTTCTGGAGAGATTAGCCAGTTTGCAGCACACAGCTGCTAGACTTGGGTGTCTAGATGTTCTCACATGTCAGAGAGCTGAAGGCATCAAAAGGAGTTTTTAAACTCTTCCTTATGACACAGCCATGCTTCCTTTACTGAACCCCACACTACAGGGCAAATCTTCCTTCCCTCTTCACATACCATCCCTGTGAGCGGGAAGAGATTCTGAACCTCCAGAGCTGTGTGCTAACCCCTACAAAACCTACACAGCAACACGAAGAAAGGAACACTTGTTTATTGGGAAAGATGCTGATCCCTTTACTTTTCTTCTCAGAGTGACCTATGAGGCATCCCACAGTTGATATTTCTTGGGCCAACAACAATCTTTCAGATGCTGTTATCACAGCTGCTGGTTTTAACTCTAGCAGGGTAAGGGAAGGGTATGTAAAGCAGAGACAGGCTTTCAGAGGCAGAGAGTCTACTACGTACCATCACTATAGAGAGATTAACTGCCAGGACCCTATATCCTAAGGCTCTTAATATTAAAGGTGGGGAAGGGGAAAGCTTTGCAAAAGACAAGAAAGGGTTTGCAGTCTCGAAGGTGCGTCAAGCCTGCTTCAGGTCTGGTTTTCTTCACGCACAGCTCCTGGTGGCAAAGGTTTTTTAGGTCAAGCCATGCTTTAACAGATGCTCTGTGGCAAACAGTGGGTTTGCCTGGATGGAATTCAATGAAGCTTTATAAAACAGTTTAGCTGATGAGGCACGTGCAAGGAGAGGATCAGCTCATTCCTCCTAAGCCATGGTGGCTTGGCAGAGCTTGCAGGAATAAGGGGAAACTTACTCTCCTCACCGGAGTCGGCTACAACACAGAATTACAACACTGTCTGCTGTGTGCAGAAAGGGAGGTGGAAATAAAGGTAGATCCCATGATTAGAAATGTGTCACTTCTCCACGAGCCATATCCTTACGCTTCAGGAGGTGTCTGGTAGCTCATCAGAGATGAAGCAAATTTACTCTTCTCCTGGCTTGATGAGCATCCCTCCCAAAGGGCAAAGGAGAGAAGGTCCACAAGAACACCTGCAGTTATTGCCCCCATCTGCTCTCCTCCCTTAGAACTTAACCATGATAATGGCTGTTCCCTTAAGCCCAGCAAGTTCCCAGCTGAGCCCCATCTGCTTTATGGCTGCCAGCAAACAACTCCCCTTCAGCCCTTCCTGGCCCACTGCTGCTGGCAGCTGGAGGTCACTTTCACACGGCCTTCCAAGAGTTAAAGAAAACAAAAAGTGAGCCTCAAATTCAAGAGGGGAAAAATCCTGGTATGCAAAATATTGAGCTCAACCACAAATATGGAGCAAATGTTTAGTTATTTGAGGCCACATGACTTTGGAAGCACCTTAAAGAAATTCTGAAAGCTTTTATTGTCAGCAGTTCAGGCCAGCTACATTTCTGTCCTATTACTAGGGGCATGTTCCCCTGTTTCTGCAGTCATCTCAGATGCTGCATCCAAAGCCAGGGACCTCAGATATTCTAGTCTGCTCAGACAAAAAGGTGGCTCAGAGAAAAGCAGTGAGCACAGAAGCAAAGAGCAGTTGGCAAGAGATGGATCTATCGTACCCTCTCCCTGTGTAAATGTGAGAACTGGAGCACAAAAGCATTCCCAGTGCCTACGCCAGAGCCAAACCCACAGCACCCAGCACCCACAATCCCCATCTCTTCCTTATGCAGACTTCAGTGATGGTCAAACCCTTAATTCCTGGGACAGAGAACTTTAAAAGTAATAGTATGGTGGGGGACATGACAAGAAAGAACAATTCCTTTCCCCTCCTTGCCATGGCTAGTGCAGTCATGCCACAAGGAGATAGCCCAGAGCAATCATTTAATCAAGAAAGGAAAGACTGGGTTGTTGTTTTAGGCTAGGACAGCCACCAGTGGCAGCAGCAGAGGGGGAGTTCCTGTCTCCATGCTGTCTACAGACTCAGGCAGATGTCTTCAAAAGCTCCTGAAGTCTGAGAGGTCCTTTTTCTTTTCTCCCTCTCAACAGGGTGAGGAGACCCCTTTGGAAGGCAGGATCTCATCCTGTAGATTAATGGTTCAATCAAGCCATGAGGATTCATGAGAGGCAAACAAGCTAGACAGCCAAGGCCTCCCACGCTACCACCAGCCTACCCAGCGACTCACTGCTGCAGCTATTGTCCCCGAGGGCTGCACCTCGGTGAACTACCTTCTTCCTGGATAAAAGCTGGCATCAGCTGTAGCTGCTTTGAGGC